ACGAGGTTATATAGACCAAATATTTTTTTCGATTTTGTGATCAGATTATCATACGATTCAAGTGTAAAGCAAATGGGTATTTATGAGTTTTTAGCATATAATAAAATTGTAAATTTAAATAAAGCGCCCCAATTCTAATATTTTTTTATTATTATATATGATAGGCTAGTGATATCGAAACTTTTTCAAAATATAAGTTTTTGTCTCGTTACAATCTCTGGTTTTAAGTATTTAACTTTAAATTTATTCACAGTAACAAATAATGACCTACGAAAAAAAATTATTTTTCTATTTTGGAGAGAGCTTCATCCTGCCTTTCTTTCCCCTCTCCATCATAGACTCGCCAGTGCAATAGACTAAACAGAATTTTCACATTTTTTTTTAACTAAAAATTTATTTAGTTATAGAATCTTCTATAGAATAAATTGTATATAATATTTATTAATTTCTCTTCTTTACAGTTATGCAATCTTTTACCTCTTGATAACTAATGATTCTTTCGTCAGATAATATTACTCTAATATATTTGTTTCCCTTCGATATCTCCATTAAGTCCCAGCACAGATGGCCACACATATATCTGAAAAACGCCATTAATTATTCCTTGATCCCTTGGGCTTCAGTTTGTCCTAGATCCATTATTATTTATCCCTTAGAGGATAGGCTTCCTGCTATAAATAAAGGAAGACTCATTTCTCTTTTCAGCCTCTTCACTTTCTTTGTTTTCTCTACGGATTTCACCTTTGTTATCGTATTGTTGCATGCAACCTCATCTAATCTGATGATTGAATCATAATCAGGCTGATAACAGTATATCTTTCCACCTGAAGTTGTCCTCATTGATTACACTCCATGACCCACAAAACTTCAACATGGTTTCACAACAGTCTGACTCTAAGATTCGTGAATAAATAAGGATTATATTCAACATATTAAAAAAAATCTTACTAAATTCTGTTTAATTTATTTTCCTATTTATAAAGTTTTGTAATAGTTAGTCCCATGAAATATTCCTTGTAAATTTTACCGTTTTAATACTGAGTGTACATATTTTTAGATAAGAAAGAAAATTAAGTTTTTTTTTACACAATAATATATAAAACATTTAAAATCTATTTCATTTGCTGCTGTAGAACCAATTATCATCTGGTTAGAAATTGGGATAAATCATAATCGATCTCTAAGACTCAAAAACGATTTTACCACTTCAAAAATTATTTTTTTCCAATACGTTTTGGCTGTTAGGAAGGACCCAATAGAATGAATAGTAAAATAATATAAAATAAAGATTAAAAAAATAATTATCAAAAATTAAATTCCTTAATGATTGCGAAAGGAATTATCGAAGTAAAATATAATAAAAAATAATTACCTTCACCTTAAGAAAAACTTTACCATGGTCGATCTCATTTGTTAGATTTAAATCCATAACATTTGAGGTTGTTTTTATTTGTTTGAGCATTGACCTTAATCGATGACCCTAGTCACCCATGGTGGATACTTCATGAAAAAAGAACAACAGCTGTCATGTTTCCGTTGTGGGAGTAATTTAACTACACTACTTAGTACATAGCTTATGGAACATGCAGATTCTCCACGAATCTACAGCATATATTGAGAGAGGCCTGTGAAACAATTGAAAATCTATTTAAGCAATATAAAAAAAAAACTATAAACATATATGACAAAATTTAAATACTTATTTATTAAATTTAAATAAAATAAATCATATTACAATTAAACTTTCTGTTGACCCTACTGGTAATGTAGGCATTCAAAAATTATTAAGAAAAATCACAAGCTATTAAATCAGCTTTATAAATTTTCTTTAGGTTATTTATTTTTTTATCTTTAGGTTACTTAATTTTTTATTGTTCAATGTCTATGAAATTATGAATGACAGTTTTCCTAATTCGTCCTCTAAGTTGTTAAAGAGTGTATGTTTCTGAATTATTTAATTATGTAAGGTATGACTGAGTTTTTATGTTTTCAATTTACTTATCTTTAGGTTATTTTATTTGTTATTGTATATAGTTTTGATTATTATCTTGCTATTATTTTATTTTTGTTAATTTTATGTTTTCTGTAAATATGGTGTGAATGTGTTCATATCTCACTATAATTATTGTCCACGTGACATATTATTATATTTATAAATAAATAAAAATAATAATAAAACTTTAGTTCATACTCTAGAACATGAATACATTAAAGTATTTTAAAGGAAGGAATCTGGAAGCTTGGGAAAAAAAAAAAAATAATGAATTACCAATAATCGTTTCAAGTGGTGAATTAATTTGTCCTATATTCTGTTTGGAGTAACTTCTAGTAATCCTCGGGTTTGTTAATCAACTACCCAAACCTAATGCCTATTGTATCCAATAACAGAACATAGGTTACACAGCGTTCAATAGAAAACAGGCCTGGAACGAGTGTACATACTGCGATATTATTTATCCTTTTGATAAAATTAATCAATTTCCATTGAAGGATTGACCCAGCTCGCTCAATCATGGCATTTCCGTGAATGGCTACCCCGTTATCATTGAAGGCGATGGGATCATTGTTGCATCAGATAATGGGAATGCAACTACCGCTTTGGTACAGTCGGGTCATGACCCAGTTGCCCCGTTAGCCGTTCCATAAACGACTCAGTTTCCAACTCCTAGCAAACCATTTGCGAGGGCTTGTCTTTGCTCGCCACCTGTTGCAACCTGTAATGAAATTTCCCTCTCACAACCCTGTCTGAGCGTGGTTTGTTAATATATAATACTTCTGGGAGACGCCTGGCAAGTGCAGTAATTCAGTTTGTACTGGCTTAGTGACCGTTTTAAAAATAAACTCCTTTTGTGTCAGTTCTTCGTTGCTTTTAACTTCTAATAATAACCAAGGTTGAACAGGATTTTTTTTTATTATAGATATTTTTGTAGTGCCTAGATGATGAATCGAATTTTTTTTTTTATTATTGTCCATCTTCCATTTTTTTTATTTTAATATCTATTTTACGTCTGCATAATATTATTTATTATGCAGTTATATTATGTTTTGTTGGGAAGTGGGCCAAAATCTTTTTTGTTTGCAGCATCCTACATTTGAAACTTTAACTTGTTGTCCTCTTTGAGGAATTTAATTGCAAACAAATCTGAAGGAAATGAACAAAGGAAAACACTTAAATTAAAAGTACTTTCTTTTTAATTGAACTGTTTCCTTATTTTCTTTATTATGCGTGCTATCTTGGTTTGAAATTTCTTACGCACTTTCGTACCCAAAACTTAATTAAAATTAGATCATTTTTCCTTCTCCACAACTATTTATTCACCTCTAACTTTATTCACCAATAATTTTTTTAAAAATATATTAATGCTATCTGTCTGTTACTTCACCATCATTTAGATTACTGAACTTTCCTTAATACACTCTCATTGGCTAGAATTCTGACGCTGCTTCATATCCACCTAGAAACTCGTTATCATATTTATCGATAAAGTATTTATAGATTGTCACTACGGATGTTTTGCCATGATTCCTAGTATCTGGCGAAGATATTCCACTACAGTCATATCGAATAGTAGAAATTGGTTGAGAGCACAGACACTGATAAAGTCACACAGAGATAAATATATGGATGATAATATAGATTAGTTATTATAATAATACAGATAAATTATTACTCTGCCGAAGTTTCAATCTGATAAAGTACGTCGCCATATTTATATGTTCTTTAATTCCTTCTTAATGTCTTCCTATTACTCTTATCAACTTCTACTACAAGCTACTGCAAAAATATTTATGTAATTTCTAAGGGTAGCAGTTATTGGAAAATAACCGGTTATCTGTTATTATAGTTTTCTTTATATGTTTGATGGGAAAACCGCGAAATATATGTGATTTTTTTTTTACGAGAACGCTGTGGGGAAGAGTTCTTTTAATGAACATACAAATAGATAGTGTAGTCCAGTTCTTAACATGTTTTTATACTATGTAGTATACGATATGAATGTAACAATAATATAACATAATATTGTAGAGATCTTTAGATATAGAACTGGAGCTGGGATGGTCCAGTAGACAGAAGCCCGCCTGGATTCTTTAGGGAGATGCTGTTATAAAATTAGACCGACACGAGGGAGCATGTTTACCTCCGTCTCATTGTTACTCACATTTTCTTCCCATATTAAATCTTCTTAATACCTATGTTAAAAAAAAAAAAAAAAAAAAAAAAAAAAATCATAAAGAAATTTGATAGTTCTACAGAATACATTTTTTTTTTTAATTAGTAAACAATTGCTTCTAGGTGTCTCGCATTCTTGCAATAATTTTTTTATTTCTTTAGATCAAAATTTTACTTACAAAGTCATATTTAGTTTAAGTTCAGTAATATGATTGGTTTTGGAAAAGCAGTTCCGAAATTAGGGATAAAAGTGGATTCTTAATGGATTAATATATTGACAGGATTCAAGATCCACAATGCACTTATGCTCACAATGAATGCATGCAACATTGAAGAACATATCGTCGGTTCATTGGAAAAAAATCACTAAGTGCATTTTTGATAGAACTAAGCTTTTAAGTACATTTCGGTTAATTTCGGCCTTATTTATTCAGTAAGAGTATAAAAATGACACAATTTCTTTTATGTAGATCAAATGTAGTTACACTAAGCTCTCAATTTGTTATTTTAACGAGAAAAAAATCATCAAAGTGCTTCGTGATTTTATTTTCTGAAATATTACTTAATAAGTTTTTTCAATAAACTTTAGGTATTATGTAGTATGTAGTACCTCCTACGTACTCCAGAGTATGCAGAACAGTGACTTTGTGGGTAGCCATGTTCTTTCGTTCCTTTGTACGGATTGTAGTTGTTCTTATTAAGCAACTGCTTGCAGTGAAACTTCATTCTGGTATTTGTTACCAGTGTTGCCTAAATCTATTACTATAATAATTCTTTATTTTCCTCACAACATAGCAGAGCCTTTTACCATATCTGGACTTGGTTGCTGATGGTACGCCATTTAGCCTTCTCTAACCTTTCGGTGAAAGTTGGTCGTCCAGAATCTCGCTATTTTGCAGAAATGCCAAAGGGTCTTACAGTCAAGACAGAGATACGACGCGTTCGGCGTGCCTTATCCCCAAGATACTGCCAGAAACGATGCGATGACCCCATACTACGACGTACATTCCGCGCTAGGTTCGAGAACTGTGATAAGTCAGCAATGGCGGCTACGTTTGAACAGCTGGTTCGCGCGGCAAGGTCGGCTGTTACTGTCGTCTTCAAAGGTCGTTAAAATTCTAACCTGTGCCTCACTCAAGGATCGCTTGCCGGAACTGCTGGCTATCATCATCACCACGTGACTCTTCGAAGATCTTATACTATCTTTTTATAATAAAAATATTAAATATAAATATTGTACATGTACCATTACAACCCATTAAGGGTGTTGGGTTCAGTACTATATTTAGGGGAAGTACTGTTACCAGGCCAACGGTTGTGCAGGGAGGAGATCGGGCCAGGTTTCCCCCCTTAACCAGTTATTTAATTAAGGGTATCCACTTTGGAGAGGCTGGGTGTGCCCCAGGAGGCGTAAATCGCAGGTAACATGTGCAATTAACAACAACGTACTAAAATAATGGTACAGTTTAATTATTCTTATAGAAGACAATATAAACAAATTTAATTATCCAGATTACTCCTCTTGTATAAGTTTAGTTTCCAAGTCATCTTTTTCCTCTAGCTTCACTCGTTCAAAATGTAAGGCGACTTTTAGATTTCTTCCCAGATCTGCCTTCGTATCCTCTTCGATGTGCCAGAAATATTATTTCCAATACAATATTACAAGTTAACTACCTATTAGATTAATTAATGCTATGTAATTTCCATGGGAACATTACGGAATCACCTATTTCAATGAAACTTCTTTTGGTGAAAATAGGTCGAAAAATATTAGACTTATGTCTGAAAGATCTAATGATCCCATAGAGCTTAGAAAAAAAAATCATAATATGTTTACATGAATTTCTATGTTATAATATATTAATCCATTTGTTTTTTTTAATGTAAAATAAGAAAAATATTTTGTTGATTGTAATATATCGGACCCTAGATCCCTGCTAATTTTCGTGTGAATGGGTGGAGTAATATTGAAGTTATTTTCGTGGTTTCTGAGAAGAAAAACATTAGTCTAGGTAAACATTTTTATTTTTCGATTGCTAGGAAAATTTGTATTTGAGGGTTTTTTTTTCGAAAGGAGAAATACAAATCTCAACGTTTCTCCTTTAAAAATTATTGAAGCTAATTTGCTCTTTCGGTTGTAAATTACTGTTACAATATTGTACTGCTACTATAATGTTGTATGCCTATTTTTTTTTTTTTATTTCAAAGCGGGATGGGTATCTGAAATAATCTAACGTTCACAAAACGTGATAAGTTGTCCCAACACGGTCTGAAATTAAAGCATGCAGATCGCATTAAATATTTTTTTTAGCTAAATAAATAGTATAACATTAGATAAATAAATTTGTTTGTTCATACCTCGACAAATCCTTCAATGAGTATTTTTATTGCTAACGAAAAATATAATTTCAGATCTTTTACCTTTAATTATATTGTAGGTATTATACACGTTAACACGGATAAATATAGGTCAGGAAAATACTCTCCTGATGATTATATGGAGTAAGATTTTTTCCATAATGTATTGATATTTTTATACAATTTTTACATAAATACGATTATTTATTTTAAATAAATAAAAATATCTTGCCTCCATAATAGGAACAAGTTAATTTTATTAATATTAATCTTGAATATTTATTTTATTTTTGAAAAACTGTATGTTGTTCTCGAGCTGAAAGTCAGAGGGAATGAAGCTGCCAGGTTTCACTGCCCCTTGCGTCATGACAAGTGAGAGTCGCTCTTTATAAAGATCACTTGGTTCATATCTTAACTGGAACAAACCCCCCGCTTGGGAACTAGTCCTGTAACTGCCCAGATCCTATCGCGTTATTAGTCCTCCAGGTACTTATAAGTTTGGATTGATGTACGGTACCATGGTACGCTCGAGGTACTTGTACTGTACCTGTGGTTATCGTTTGAACTTGAGGTATGTTGAAGTATGCACGGAGAGACCGGGATATATGGTGTGAGGCACGCGACCTCATAGGACAGCAGGAGACCTATAAACTCAACTCTTATTTCTTTTCCCTTTCCAAACTATGGTATGATAATGTTCTTAAATATCATGACGATTACTTAAGGATAAGACCTTATCAGATTGAAAAATTGTTGTATCAAAACCTTGTTTTTATTTCTACTACGAGACCTGAAATTATGAATGATTATCATCATCCAGAAGATACCAATTTTGTCATGAACACAAGTTATTAAAACTTTTAACATTACTGATTAGCTTAAAAAAAAAAAAAATGACAAGTTATAATTAATCCTTTCCATATTTTATTTTATTATTTTTTGTTTTTAATCTCGCAAAATGAGGAATATACTGAGTATTCGTAAATTAATTAATATTTCTGGCAAATAATTAATGTTATTCATATAAATATTATTGATTAGAGATCTATTCTGTAGCCTTGATTTGTCATCAGGTAATTCATTTGATAAGCCTCGTGCGATGTGGCAGCTAAACCCAAAATCGCGTTGCATAATTAATTTTAGCAACTTTCTGATTGCCTAAACGACTCTTCTATTGTTTTAATTTGGGTTGCTAAGTCGCTTTGAAATGATCTTGCAAGGCTGCTGGCTACGTCAGGAGGGCACGATGTGTCGTCACCTATTATTGCACCTGCAACCCATCTATGACTCAGGTCTATTAAGAACTCCATGACGTAGTCAAAGATAAGTCTATCATCATCTTACCTGAATAAATCTCTCCAGCGATAGATAACTTCGATGTTAATCGAGGTATTCCTTTAATGAATAATAAATTAATATTTTTTTTTTTTTTTTTTTTTTTGACAAATCGTTATTTTATCTTGGGAGAATGATAAATTTGTTTCTAATTTAGAAAAAATATATACTATGTTCCATTCAATAAATAATATATAAATCATAATAATTAATTATAATGTGTAAGTAATAATTTATAATAAATTTTTTTTTTTTTTTTTTTTTTTTTTTTTTTTTGACTTGATTCTTCAACTCACACCTGTCAGAAGTTCCGACAATCAGCGAGTGTGATGTCAAGATGAAGAGATTGGTCTTGGAATAGGCGTGAGGGAGAGGAGTACCCAGCGGCGTCCTTCCTGTCTTGAGCGTAATATTTCTAGTTAGTGGAGGAGATCCCTCATCCAGCTTCTTTTAAGCCTCCTTCGGGTGCTATCGGGCATGTTAGTTGTGGCCATGCCTCGAATCAATGAGTTTGTATGTCCGTGTAAGTTATTATGAAATCGTTTGTAGTATGTTCGTATGTGGTCGTTAACTGTTGGCATCTGTAAGTCTTTATGTAGAGTAATGTTACTGACGTACCAGGGAGCTTTGGTAATAGTCCTGAAAGTTTTAGATTGAAAAGTCTGTAATTTACGTATGTGAGTCTTTTTGGCTGTCCCATATATCTGTAAAGCGTAGGTCCAAATAGGCTTGAGTAGGTAAGTATATGTATTCAATTTCTGTCTAAGTTTTAATTTAGAATTTCTCGCAAGGAGTGAGTACAATAGGCGTAGTCTTAGGTTTAAAGTTTTTGTTTTGTTTTTGATATGTTGGCCCCATGTCATTCTTCTGTCAAAGGTCAGTCCAAGATATTGAACTTTGTCTGTCTGAGGAATTTGGATATTGTCAAGGTAAATAGGGGGCAAGTTTCACGTCGAAGGGTAAAAGTGATATGTTGTGATTTGTCAAGGTTCAGTCGAATTTTCCAGAGTTTGCACCAGTCGTAGAAATTGTTTAGGTGATATTGTAAAGTCTGTGAGGCGTATGCTGAATTTTGATGTCTTGTCAAGATTGTTGTATCGTCTGCGTAAGTCGCGGTCAGAGTATAGAGAGGATCTGGAATATCATATGTGTAAATAATATACAACAGAGGAGCGAGTACTGACCCCTGAGGCACCCCTGCTAGGGCTGGTTTAATGGTAGATAGTTCTGTACCTTGGCAAACAGAGAAAAATCTGTCAGAAAGAAAAGATTGAAGAATAAGATAGTAGGTTGGAGGGAGTATAGTCTTAAGTTTGAAAAGAAGTCCCTGATGCCAGACTCTATCGAACGCTTGAGCAACATCCAGAAATACTCCTGTTGCATATAATTTGTGCTCTAGTGCTGTCGCAATGTAGTCTGTCACTCGGTGTAGCTGATGAATGGTTGAGTGGTGTGAACGAAATCCAAACTGATGTTCAGGTATTATGTTTTCAGTAGTCAGTATGTCAAGAAGTCGTTTGTAGAGAAGTTTCTCAAAGATTTTAGAGCATAATGGGAGCAAGCTGATGGGTCTGTATGATGAAGGAAAGTCAGTGTTTTTGTTAGGTTTGTGAATCATTTTTATGAATGAGTATTTCCATTGTAAGGGGAATTTAGTCGTTCTGAGTATTGCGTTATAAATTGATGTTAGGTATACTAGAGCTTTCCTTGGCATTTTCTGGAGCACTTGAGCATTTATCAGGTCATGACCGGGAGCTTTCTTTTTAGGTAACTGTCTGATTTGTTCTGCAACATGAGTTATGTACTTGGTGTTTTATGTACTAGGAAAGAAACTTACCTAAAAAAAAAAAAAAGATAAAATAATTTTCAACACATTTGCTTGATTCATTGTTACGTATTATTTTACTAATTACATAAACATAAAATAAATAAAAAATCCTTAATATATAATCACGTGTAGATACTTTATTTTTCCATAACATTCTAATATAATATGTTAGGTGCATAATTATTTTTTTAATAAGTTTCATTTAGTATACAGTAAACTCCTTATCGATCTTTTTTTTTTTCACTTTATATACTGGTTCAAGCGTTGGGCGGAAGAGGAAATGGTCAGCAGCGTTGATAATCTTTATTCACCTACATTCCTATTTGAATAGAGATTTTAAATGACCCCGTATTATATATATGAATATTCATAGATAATCAATATACGAAGGGTAGAGGGAAAACTAAACAAAACAACAAGTAATTCAATTTATTTTTTACATCATGTTAAATGTTTCAGGTAACAGGTACAAACGAGAATAAATATTATCAAATGTATTTTTCTAAGCATATGTTCATCATTAGTGTATTTTTGAAACTTGTGCATAGTAAGTAAATTAAAATCTCCTCCAATCACGTATGTGAATTTTAATA